TGCGAAAGTGAAAGGCGGGAGCGCCAAGGCCCCAGAAGGCAGGCGCATGGCTGGGTTGTTTCCAGAAGAGCAGGAATCGGTGGGGCTGGAGAGGAGCAATGGAGATCCACAGTTACTCCTGAGGCTGCAGGGTAGAGGCTTCTCCATGCTGTCAGGCAGCTCTGCTCCTCTCTACCCACCCTGTAGGCAGGAAGGAGCAGGCCAGGAGGAATTCTACACGGAGGCTCAGTGCCCACATGGGGGGCTCACAGGTGGAACAGCTGGGTCCCTCGCCTCCAGGCAGCGCCTGCTCTGTGTGCCCTAGACCTGGAATAGCGAGAAGCAGAAGCAGACCTTGCAGGAGACCGTGCAGAAGCGCCCCGGTTGCTGAGCTGGGCATGGAAGGGAGCTGGCCTGCTCCTGGCATCATCACCAGCTCTCCGTCTCTGTCCTGCTAGCAGCCTTGGCGAGGAAGTAATGGTGGGGATCAAGGCCGGGATGTGGACTGTGGGCCACTTGCATTGTGTTTTTCCTCCAGTCTTCCCAAGCACGTTCTCTGTCTTGGCAATAAGCATAATGGCTGACTAGCAACCCAGGCCCGGGCTGCCCAGCGTGGTGGAAACACGGTCTCACTGGTCTCACTTCACTCTCCGCAGACATCCTTGTTTGCTGTCCAGCTCAGGGAGATGGTCAGCCCATTCCTTTTGAATAAATGAATTTTCCTCCTCGTAGCCACTCAGGTGAGCTTCTTTTCTACCCTTTTAGAGAAATACCCGTGTCTCGAAATTTAAGTAGATTGCTCAATGACACAGTGCCTGGGAGTAGCAGAGGTTGGCCTTGTGCGAGGTCTGTGGCTCTCAGCCTGCCAGAGGAGGTGTCCTGCTTTTGGATCTCCTGGTCCAGGACACAGTGGTGCCTCAGTAGGATGGGAACCTGGGATATCAGTGAACCCTAACTCCCTGCTTCCCTTGAGTGACCATTTAGCCTTTTAACGCTGACTTCTTTCCTTATATTAATAAGTGGGTGATGCCAATAATGGCAGTGTGCAGACCTCTAGGAAGGTAGTAGGGATCTATATCTGATATCTGATATCTGTAAATGATAACCACCCTGCTCCCCAGCCAGTATAAAGGGGGACAGTTATTCTTTTAAAGTGCCTACTGTTACTAAGCATAAAAATTTTTGGTAAGTCAGAGGACAAATATTACTGAAGATGGAAAAAAGGGTTTAGAACTTTTAGAAGGCTTAGACTTTTTTTTTCTGTGAAGGATCCGATAATAAATATATTCAGCTTGGCAGGACATGAGGTCTCGCAGGTTCTCCACGCTGGTGTTGACTATAGTATGAAATCAGCATAGATTTATGTAAATGAATGGGCAGAGCATATTCCAATGTTTCAACGTTCATAAGAGCAAGTGGGGGCTTGTAAATTGCTGAGACTGTTTTATACCACATGATTGAGTGGGGCATGTATCCAGGCATGATTGAGTAGGATGTATGTACACATGTGTGCATCTGTCTTGTATTTGGCATATTAGATCATATTCCCGGACAACCACTTTCAGAGAACAGTCTTGGGCACAGGGGGACACTGAATATGCTTCCTGGTGTTGTATGACCAATAACCTGTTGTATGACCAATTTTCCACGCAGATGGAAAATGCATGGACTCAGCTGTCGGTAGACCTGATTTTTTCCTGAGCATACATTCCAATTTTGTCCTCCTTGGCCATATGAATTGTTTTGATCCTGCCTCTGTGTCCAGGCACGATGTAGGCATGTTCATTTGTGCTACTATCATCCTAAGTATTTGTGTTCTCTTAATGTGGCTTAAGTCATTAAGTAAATATGTGTTGTTTATCTCTCTATCGTTTGCTATACTCATATACTTTGCTAGAGTATTTTTCAACGATGATGGAAGGTGGTCTCCTCAGCCAGCTTTTCATTCTTAGTTAGCTTTCCTGGAAGTGGGTTTTTGTGTCTTCCTCTGCAGTTGACACAGCCAGTGACTGCTCATGGTGTTTGTAGTACAGCTTCCTGTGTGTGCCTCATGGTGAGATCCTTCAGCGACATGGGAGGTGGTGTTTGTGCAAGATCACATTTAGCGTACACAAAAGGAAGATGATGTTTACTCACATCAGTGTCTTGCTCTTAAGATCTTTAGTGAATAGGAACATTTCCTTTTTTTAAATAATTGACCCATCCAGTCTAATACCACCCCTACCCCCATGTTCTCCATGTTCTGTTGAATTTTAGTAAATTTGCATTCTTGTTGATAGAGGAGTCTCCCTAAAGGCAATCAAAAGTTACCTGAAAGGCAGTGGTGAAAGTTGATAAGAGACAACTAACTTTCTAGTAACTTTCATGCCAAGATGTTAACTTTTGAATGTGTATCTATATGTTATTAGGCAGTTCTGTTGTACTAAGATTTTTTGGCACTGATGATTTTAAAATTATTTATCTTTTTCAAAGTTATTTATCTTTTGTTAAAACCAGTGCTTAACAAATTAATGGCACCACATCCATACAGTGGGATATTAGACTTATTTTCATATGAACATCTTTTATATTGACAATTTTTTTAAAGAGCCGGGGTACAGGCCAGAGATGTGGGGGGTGAGAGGATTCAGCAGAGCAGAATGGGGAACAGAACAGGCAGATCTATTGAAATACACTGCTGAGAGAGCAGCGGGTGAGACAGGAGAGGTCTGCTGTGCCTTGTGGCTTGCTCCCTGGCTGGCCGGGGATCGAAATCGTGCTGCAGAGGCCGCGGATTGCTTCATAGTGTGGTGCTTAAACCCTTGCACCACCAAGGAGGCTCTATATTGATGATATTCAAAATAATTTGTATTTTCCTGAGTCTGTTCTTAGAAACAATTTGCTGGAAATGGTTAAAGCCAATGCTTAATGAATAAATGAACTAGGATACCTTCCTAAGGTGGAATACTACTCATCAATGAAGAATAAACTATTGCTACAGACAAAATCTTGGATGGATTTCAAAGACTTTGTGCTGAGGGACAGAAGCCAGTGTCAAAAACTTTGCATACTGCCTAATTCTATTGATATGCTCTCTGGAAAAGGATGAAACTGATGATAGCACATCTGTGGTTGCCATGCCTTCTGGATTGGGACCCTCTGACCACATGGGGCAGCATGAGGAGTTTCTTGGGTGATGGGACTTTCCTGTGTCCTGACTGTGCCAGTGGTTACACACACTTGTGCAAAGCCATAGCACTGTACACACATGTGAAAGGTCAATGTTACTAGGAGTTATTTTTTTCAAAGGTAAAATTAAACCAAAAATTTGAGTGCTTGTTAAGACTTAATGAGAGCATCAAAAAATGATGGGATTTTCTAATCTTGTAATGATAGTGGGATGCCAGGGATTCCTGAAGGGAAAAGTCTTAATTATGCTCTTTTTTAATGAAAAACTCATTGATGTATCACTAGGTTTATAAAGAGGGTAAGAAAAAAGGACTTAAACTCTGTGGGCGGAACCGTGACTCAATGCTGAGTGGAGTGACGGCCCCCAGCAGCTGTCACTTGGTGCGGGTGTCCCTGTGTGGGTGTCACCTCTCTTCTTCCTGGTGATCACTCCCCCTCAGTGGTGAGTATATATGGTGTGTGACAGTTACAGTGGCTACGGGAACCCTAACTTTAGGTTCTGTGACTTTCCATGAGTAACACCAGCCATAATGTGGAATGAATCGTTCTTCATATTTAATTTCCATGTTATTGTAAGTGGAAGACTTACCACATGTTTGAATAAAAGCTCTGAGTGCGTTTATTTTATTTTATTTTATTTTATTAAAGATTTATTTATTTATTTACTTTTACAAGCACTGGGTACAGTTAGAAGCGCTGGAGGGTGAGAGAATTCACCAGAGCCAGAGCGGGGAGCAGAACAGGCAGACTGACAAATACACTGCTGAGGGGAGCAGCAGGCGCGGTAGGAAGGTCTGCGCGCCATGTGGGACCCTCACCCCTTGGCCGGGGATCGAACCAGCGCTGCAGAGGCTGTGCTGGGCAGCTTCGCAACCCAGCGCTCAACTGCTGCACCACCAGGGAGGCCCTCTGAGTGCGTTTTTGATGGCCTGCAGGTGATGGGGGTTACGTGCACTAATTTTGTCACTTCACTAGTGCCAGGTATTAAGTAAGTGGGGCTGACTTGGGAGCACATGTATCATGAGCCTTCCAGAGAGGAGATGCTGTCCACCCTCCCTCCCATCTGCTTCTCTGACTGATGGTAGAAGATTCTGGGTATAGGGTCTCAGGTGCTTTGAGCAGAGATTCTGTCCATGCACTTGGAGTTTCGCAAAATTGCCTTTGAACCAGACTGGTTAAAGCGAGCCTTGGTTGATTTCATCAAACTGGAGACTAACCAGGGATGCTGGGGCTGCAGGGGCCTCGATGTGGTCAGTCTAGCTCTTTTGCCTTTGTGAGTCAGTCAGGAGAGGGATTGCTGAGCTTTGGGATATAACTGAACCCGAGTGGAAAGAAAGGCCCTGACATCTAGAAAAGTCTGAGGGTCGTCTGCAGCTCACCAGGGAGAATGTTTACCTAAACCAAAAGAGAAGGTGCAAGAACCTGAATGCAAGGGTATTACCTGAGCCCCTGGGCCCTGCTCACCACTGAGGTTGGCCGTTTGCCACCCCATGGAATCATTTTCTGGGTGTCTGAGGCACATCTGAGTCAGGAAACAGGCCCCCGCCCTCCTCCAGAGTCATGGGTTCCCAGTCTGCCTTTCCTACTTTGGGGTTGGTGGCTGCCCAGGCCATGAAAGGCTGACGTTTGCAGGCCAACTTGCGTTGCTGAGCTGCCATCTCCCTGTGCTGGTGGGGCCAGCGGGCCTCCCAGAGGCTCTTGCTGCCCTACTGAGTCAGGCCTCCATGCGGGACTTAACACATGGGGGCAGTAGCTGTGTCCCTGCCCCGAGGTGCCCACCTAGACATCAGCTGATAGTCCTGTTGCATAGCATAGCAAGCTGTTGCATAGCAGGCATCTCTTTGTCTTTGCAGAAGCCGTGTGGGGGTGTGGACCTAAACGCGACTGTGCCTTCCCAGTCCCTGGAAGAGCCAGAGGTGAGTGAGGCGGCTCAGACATAACCGGGCCGAAGGGGGCACTGACTGTGCTTCAGCCGGAGCTGGCCTCTGTGTCTTTGCCACTCTTACTTCTAATGGGCATGGGGAGAGACAGGCCTTGCAAAGGAGAGCTGGAAAAGACTCATGCAGGGCTTCTTGATTTGTCTGACTGGGATGGATTCTTCTAAAAATGCAGAGCAGCTGCGGAACTGAGCGAGGTTGGATGGAAGAGGAAGACGTTTTGAAGAGCTTTGTGATGGTGGGGGGGTGTGTCACTTTCAGAACAAGACTGTCAGGGATGACTTAGCCACAGAATGTCAAATATGTGAACAATAAATTGTTTCATCTGTTTGGAAAGACAGAAATTTGAATGAGTTCAAAACTCTAATTGGATGTATTTAATAGAAATAGCTGTTATGAGCAGGAGTGGACGCCTTCCTGGAGGAGGAAGTGACCGCCTTGGGGGTGGTGAGACAGTGTGGGGAAGACCTCGGTCCCAGGAAAGGTCGGGCTGTTGTGGAGACCCCTGGAGACCCGCGTGGACGCAGGCCAGGGGCTCGCCCTGGGTGGCCAAGCGGCTTAGGGGGTTACAGTCTGGGCTGGTCATGAGGGAATGTTCTGGTTCCACGTGGAGTTGGTGGAGACCCTGTGGGAGGGGAGAGGTGAAGGGGGACTTGGCTCCTGGGTGTGGAAGTGCAGGCACATGCACATGAGGGCTCACCCCACACTGCACCCTCCTGCCTCCTCCTGTGCTGCACCTGAGCTGCAGGATAAAGGATCTGCAGGCCGTGGGTGAGCTGAAGGGCATTTCAGAGGCTGGAAAACCACCTGCCTCCTTTTCCTTGGGAAGCTGCCATGCTGGTGGTGCCATGTTGCCTCTGCATCCCGATAGAGCCCCACGGGGGCAGAAACAACCTGGTAACCAAGCAGGGGGCCGGCTCATCAGCATGGGTGGGACGTGACAGCTGAGAGTTGCCTTTGGTGTGACCGTGTCATCCCCTTCCACGAGGAGATGTCCCTGGTTTCTGACTCCCTGCGGCTGGCCGGCCCCGGGCTGACTCACCTCTCCCCCTATGCAGGCTCTCGGAGAGGCCAGCGATGGCGTGAGCACCCTGCCCAGCTCCTTCGCCTACCTGCTCACCATCCACCTGAAGGAAGGCAGGAACCTGGTCATCCGAGATCGCTGCGGTAAGGCCGCCTCCGCTCCGTGGAGCCTGCAAGCCCTCTGCCCTTGACTGCCCTTGACCTTGTCTGCCACTCCTGTCTGGCTCTGTGTGGTTGGCAGCAGATGAGGGGGGCTCGGCTCTCAGCACCTGCAGGTGTCACTGTCCATTACTAAACGACAGTCATAATCTCGTGAAGTTGTTCACATAAAGATCTTCAGAGGCTTTGCATTTTATTAGATGCAAACACATCTGTTTCTCCATTGTGGTCTCTTTTCATTCATTTTGTTTGGTAGGTGGGAGCCTTTTTGCTCTATAAGATGTTGTTTTTCTGCAGCTCTTCGACTGGTTTCTCCTGTTACTTCTCGACTGTTTTGGATCTCCCAGGAGATGAAGGCAGGAGCCTGGCCCCTTCCTCTGTCTTCTGCAGCTCTCGCTTTTCTTCTTCATTCTGCTCTTTCTGCTCCCCTTTTAGGCAGAATTCCTCAGCTTGGCCCCTCAGCTCACGCAGTCCTTGCTGACTGCTGTATTGTGCTTTCTGTTCATCTACCTTGTTGCCTTTTGAAAATTGTTTTCTAACTGCCTCTTTCTGTCTCAAGGATGAGAAGATGCCACACGCTTTCTGCGAGCACTCGTGTGCACACGCAGCTCCCGCTGGGCGTCCAGTCTCCTGGACACCAGTGCGCCTGGCTTGCCGTCCATCGCTTTATTTGCTGGTCCGCATTCTGCATCTGTGGGTGCTGCTTACTGCACCTGCCTCCCTGTGTGAGGAGGGCTGGGGAGGCAGCTGGGCAGGGTGGCCGTGCCCTTCTATCCTTCAGGCCGGCTCCTCTCCATTCCTCGCAGGATCACCCTTGCTGCGCACAGCATCCTTCTCTTGCCCCCTGGCAAGCTCGCTGCTCCTGCCTGCAGGCTCATGCCTTTGCTGGCCTTTGCTTGGCTCTGGATGGGGAGGGCAGAATGAGCCCACCGGGTGCTGCCCAGCCCAGCTGCCCATACCTGCCCGATCACCGTCCGTCCGCTTCCCCCACCTTCTGCACTGAGCTTGCAGCCCCCGCCCTACCTGTGCCCTGGAAACCTTTTTTGCTGATTCTCTGTCATGTTTCAGACTGTGGTCCTTCCACCCTTGATGTCACCCTGTCTTTCAGGGTTGCATATGTAGGCCCCGTGATTTTTTTAAGCAAAATTTCTCTCTCTGGTCTTTTTGTATTTTCTCAGATACAGCATTTCAAAATCATGGAAAAAAATCTCATTTTTCTACTTGTTGGTAAATAGCGTGCTCTGTCAAAATCATCCTATCTTATCTGTCAGTTGTGCAACTTCTTGTGCTCTCTGATGGCGTTCACTTTAGCAGAGGCATGTCTGGTGTGATTTGAACGATCTGCAGGGTGATAGCATTTCCCACCTGAAATAGCATGTGGGGCATGGCCAGAGGCGGTGCCAGGCAACCGCACCCGTGTCCAGGTGTGTCTGCCTGTGCTGCCATCCACCCGTGGTCACTGTCAGGTTTGTTTTGTCACAACTTGTCTGGAGATGGAAATGTGCTCCACAGAGAGAGTGTTAACCCTCCTTGGAAGAAAGTGCTCAGGACTGCTCAAAAGCTCATCCTGTTTTGAGTTGTGTAATTTGTCTGCTACTGTGTCCCCCTCGGTGTGTGCCCAGACCTTGGCCCCTTTCACTGCCAGCTGCTCCTTCCCTGGTTTTCCCATTTTTTTTTTTTTAATGTAACATTTTGTTCCTTTTTTTTTTTAAGATTTATTTATTTATTTATTTATATAAGCACTGGGTACAGTCAGAAGCACGGGAGGGCAAGAGTATTCACCAGAGCCAGAGCAGGGAGCAGAACAGGCAGACTGACGAAGTACACTGCTGAGGGGAGCAGCAGGCGGCAGGAGAGGTCTGTGCGCCATGTGGGACCCTCGCCCAGTGGCTGGGGATCGAACTGGTGCTGCAGAGGCTGTGGGCAGCTTCGCAGCCCAGCACTCAACTGCTGCACCACCGGGGAGGCCCGGTTTTCCCGTTTTTGCTGGATGTTTTTCCCTAACTGACAAGATTTATCTGCCCACTTGACAGATGACCTCTATGTAGAGCAGAGTCTATGTTGCTCTAGTAGTTTAGTTGGTCAGTAAATTGAGTAGCTGATAACAAAATCCCCGCACACGTTAAGAAATGACCAAAACACCAGGACTCGCACATGCTTGCTCCCACCTCACTGTTTTAGGGCTAAAGGAGAGACTGCATCTGAGTTTTCATCCCAGCCTTTGTCATCTTACCTGCCTCATTACACCAGAGTTAAAACATCAGATGACAATTGGGTTTTATTTTGTGTGAACTTGTTTTAATTTGAATACAAATCCCCAGTATGAAATCTAGGTTAGAAACGCTCAACCTTTGCTGTTGTAACCAGGAATGACTTTTCCTGTGTGGTGGCTTTTATCTATTGGGAAGAGTCAATTGTTGCCCCTCTTGCAGGTTCTCTTTCTTTTTTTTTTTTTAAGATTTATTTATTTATGCATACAAGAACTAGGATACAGGCCAGAGGTGCAGGGGCTGGTGTGTGTGTGTGTGTGAGAGAGAGTGAGAGAGAAAGAGAGAGAGAGAGAGGATTCACCAGAGACAGAGCAGGGAACAGAACAGGCAGACTGATGAAATACACTGCTGAGGGGAGCAGTGGGCGAGACAGGAGAGGTCTGCTGCACCATGTGGGTAGCTCTCTGGCCGGCCTAGGGTGAAACTTGCACTGCAGAGGCTGCAGATAGCCTCACAGTGCTGTGCTTAACCCCCTGTGCCACAAGGGAGGCCCTGTGGGCTCTTTTCTGTACTGTGGGCTATGGTGTGTTTTTCTGTCCTGAAGCTGTTCTGCTTGCTGTGTGAGTTTTGTGAGTGTTAGGTTTGTGGTGTGTTGTGGAGCCCACTCGAGGTTGAGTAGCACGGGGTCCACTGTGAGTGGATGTAGGGGTGGACCTTGTGCTCTGCCTCCTTCCTGTTTTGCCTCCCATGATGTTCGGCATCAACACAGTGCTGGTTGGAGCCCACGCGGCCTCAGCATTTCATTCTCTGATGTCCTTGGGACCGGTAGTTCTCACTCAGACCTAGGCTTATGAGCATAACTGCCCGCATCAGTTTCTGACTCAGCAGATTTGGGGTGCAGCGTGAGAATTTGCTTTTTTTTTTTTTTTAAGATTTATTTATTTATCCATACAAGCACTGGGTACAGTCAGAAGCGTGGGAGGGTGAGAGAATTCACCAGAGCCAGAGTGGGGAACAGAACAGGCAGACTGACAAAACACACTGCTGAGGGGAGCAGCAGGTGCTGCAGGAGAGGTCTGCGTGCCATGTGGGACCCTCGCCGAGGGGTGGGGATCCAACCAATGCTGCAGAGGCTGCGGGCAGCTTCCCAGCCCAGCACTCAACTGCTGAGCCACCAGAGGAGGCCCAGAATTTGCATTTCTAACAAGTCCCCAGGAGGCTCTTTGTGGTTGCTGATCCAGAAACCCCAATTTTAGCAGCCATTGCTCTAGGCAGCCTCTCTGTACAGTGGGGGCCACAGTGGAGGGCCACATGAGAAGAAACACCTGCTTCTCCTGTCAGGTAGAATTTCCATTCTGTATCAGCTACAACCTTTTCTGTTTTGGGTGCTGTACCTTATTACATGTTTCCTCTCCAGCATCAGCCTCAAGCTTTCTTTGATTTGCATTATCTGAGCATAATTTTTAAAAAAGACTTGTTTATGTATGCATACAAGAACTGGGGCACAGGCTAGATATGCAGGGGGTGAGAGGTACCACCAGAGACAGAGCGGGGAAGAGAACAGGCAGACTGATGAAATACACTGCTGAGGGGAGCAGCTAGAGAGACAGGAGAGGTCTGCTTCGCCATGTGGGTTTCTCTTTGGCCGGCTGGGGATCAAACTCGAGCTGCAGATTGCTTCATAGTGTGGTGCTTAACCCCATGCGCCACCAGGGAGGCCCCATCTGAGCATAATTTAACTGGGTGTTTGCTCAGTGAACAAAGTTAGGTACAGTGTGATATGCCAAAGTGATAAATACAGAAGGATTTTTAAAATTTATCTATGAATTGATAATATTTTATATTTTATAAATAGGATTTATATATTCTATATATCATGTTCTCTAATTCTGGGGATGTAAGATTGATAGCTGATTGTTACAATACTAAATATTCTTCAAGATCTCTTTTTTTGTTTAAAGATTTATTTATTTATTTATACAAGCACTGGGTACAGTCAGAAACACGGGAGGGTGAGAGGATTCACCAGAGCCAGAGTGGGGAGCAGAGCAGGCAGACTGACGAAGTACACTGCTGAGGGGAGCAGCAGGCGGCAGGAGAGGTCTGCCGCGCCATGTGGGACCCTCGCCGGTGGCCGGGGATCTAACCGGCGCTGCAGAGGCTGCAGGCAGCTTCGCAGCCCAGCGCTCAACCCCTGTGCCACCGGGGAGGCCCACCTTCAAGATCTCTTTATTTTTATTTATATATTTATTTTTTTTTCTCAGTTGCTTTTTATCATTAATACATTTGATATTGACATTTTTGACTTGTCATAATGCTTTTTAGATGAGGAAGTATTTTCTCTCTTGGTGCTAATATACTTGGTAAAAAAAGATCAAATTCTTCTCATTTTTGTGGGCATTACCTATTTTTTTTTAAATAATAAATTTTATTTTTATATTCCCCATACAATTGCAACCCCCCCAATTCTGACCCCAATCCCTCCCCTCCCGCCCTCCCCCCCAAAAAAAGTGTCTCTGGTTCACAGTTTTTTGTTGATTTTGATTTTCACTTTCTTATAGTTATTCATTTTCCTGGTCCCTTATTTAAGTTTTCTAGATTCCTGCTATGAGTGAGACCATCCGGTATTTTTCTTTTTCTTTTTGGCTTATTTCGCTGAGCATGATCCCTTCCAGCGCCATCCATGTTGCTGCAAATTGCATGTGTTCATCTTTTTTGAATGCTGAGTAATATTCCATGGTGTATATGGACCACATCTTCTTGATCCAGTCATCT